TACAGCATGTCGGCGGGTAAGCTGCAGGCACGCCTAAGCAGCAGCGCCAAAGCTGCATGGGCCTCGCGGTCTGTCAAGGAGTCGGTTGTGCTTATGGACTGGAACACCAAAGATGCCCAGCCCGCGGGCAATGCAGCTATATACACACTGTTAGACATATTGAAAAACGTACGTTAACTGTCCCTGCAAAGGCTACTAGACCAGAAATGATATATAATAGAGTTTTATAGGAAGTTTTAGAAACTAATTATCTAATACTGTATATTGTTCTGAATAAGCAAAAACAATTTTTGTCCAGATATATCTTTAAAAGCATATTTATAACTTTACCTTCCTTTTTGCAGTGGGATCCCGATGTTACTTATCGCTCGCCCATACAGATTTTGGAGGGCGGCTACGAGTTTTTCATCATGATGTATCCGACGCACTGCACCAATCCGAGTGTCCAACCGCCTCAGCAGAACAACAATGACATCGAAACGATTGATGACATCGAGTATCCATCCATAAATGACATAACTATGAAGGAGGATATTATGAATGCGCCCAATGTGATGCATAAGCAAAGGCCCAGCATAAATCGTGCCAGCAAACCGGCTGCAGTGCGCACCTATGAGCAGAGCTCACCAAATCAGCAGCAGCAGCAGCCGCAACAGCAACAGCCTGCTGAGCCACAGGATAACCCTATCAATGACATCATACGCGATCAGACAGTGCTGCTGCAGCGGGCACATCACAACGATATGCTACTCGATACGGCGACCAAGAAGTGGCAAAGCATAATCGAGCTAAAGCAACTGCATGCCGAGGGCGCAGTGCTAAGCTATCCGGAACAGGAGGTGCTCTACAACATATTGCAGCTGGAAAGCAAGGCTGAGGACTATGTGAGTGTTTTTTAAAGGGTATATCTATATTCTATAGTTACTAATTGGTATAAACTTTTGTAGAAAATTGAAAACAATCGACTGCGCGATGAACTGAATCGCTACAAGGAGCAAAATTCGATGCAGTATTTGCAAAATGATGATGAGACAACCAAACGCATTGAATCGAAAATACAGGAGCGACAGCAGCTGGACGAACAGCACGAACGAGATCGCCTCGAGCGCGAGCACCAGCTGTCCATTGCACGCGCAGCGAAAAAACATTATAAGCCACCGGCAGAGACCAATGCAGCCCGCCCACTCACACCCACAGGCGACGCATTGAACAATGCATTCAACGAGTTGCCGCAGACGATTGTATCCGAAGACAYAGCAAKCCGACCCGCCTACGATCGGTCAACGAAACCACAGAGCCGTAATGTGGAGACGACAGCGCCACGAGTCCGTGATTTCTCACCTGTAATAGGGCACAATGTGGTGAGTGGTTGCACCGATGGCTATAAATAGTCGCTCGACCAATCAATAGCCGTCACGTTGCAAGCTGGTCGCACCCAGCGCTGTCGTATTTTGCATTCAATTGGTTCAGTGTTTGCAACAAAGCGCACAAATGATTTGCGTAGCGGGTGTTAAAATTCAGCGGCCGCCCACTTACAACATTTATAGCTCCATATTTCCGCTAAGACGCGTAAATCAAGCAGCTAACCGCATAGTGACAGGACTCTAACATAATCTTTTGCTTTATCCGTATATAGGGCCGCGGCTTAACGGGCCTCAAGAATCTGGGCAACACCTGCTATATGAATAGCATACTACAATGTCTGAGCAATACGCCGCAGCTAATGGAGTTCTGCGTATCGGACAAATACAAGAACTATATATGTCGGCGTAACAAAACCAATGGACAGGTCATCGAGGAGGTGGCCGCACTCATCAAAGAGCTGTGGAACGGACAATATAAATGTGTGGCCAGTCGCGATTTGCGAGTAAGGACGAGAGTAACTGTGCTTTTGCATAAATTAAAATATTTCCATTTTTTTGCAGTACGTAGTGGGACAGTATCAGAAGATATTTCGCGGCGTTGATCAACAGGATTCCCATGAATTTTTGACCATACTCATGGACTGGCTGCATTCGGATTTGCAAACGTTGCGTGTGCCGCGCCAACGAGAGGTTATCAGTGCCTCAGAGAAAGCGTGGATGGAGTTTACCAAGTCGCAGGAGAGTCTAATACTGCATTTATTTTATGGTCAGATCAAGAGCACCGTCAAGTGTGTGACCTGCACCAAGGAGTCGGCCACATACGAGTGTTTTTCGAATCTCAGCCTGGAGCTGCCGGCAAATGCAAATTTGTGCTATCTGAATCAATGCATGGACATGTACTTCAGTGGCGAGAAAATTCACGGCTGGAACTGTCCCAACTGCAAGACGAAACGAGATGCCATCAAAAAGTTGGACATTTCCAAGCTGCCACCGGTGCTGGTTATACATTTGAAGCGGTGCGTCCAGACACTATATAAACTCTTCAAGTAATTCTTAAATTAAATATGATATTTGTATTCCCAACAGTTTCTATGCGGACCCCAGCAACCCGGGCGCCTATATTAAGAAACAAAACTATTTACAATTTCCGCTGGATAATCTGGACATGAAACCATATATAGCACGTGCCGAATCACGTGCTGTGACGCCCAAAACATACCAATTGTATGCCGTGTCAAATCACTACGGCACCATGGAGGGCGGACATTATACGGCATTCTGCAAGAGCGCCCACTATGGACGCTGGTATAAGTTCGATGATCAAGTTGTTTCGCCGCTGGACACGTCAAACGTTGTCTCGAGCGCAGCCTATATACTATTTTATACCTGGCTGCCGCCTATGCAACTATCAATATCATAGTCCGCAAATGAAACATTATTATTTTGATCCCCGTCAAATTAATTTATATATATATATACATATATTCTGTCTATTATTTCTTAGCTTTTCTT